CTAAATTGACCAGGCCAGGCTTGAACTTGTGACCCTCCTGTCTCAGCTTCCTAGAGTGCTGATATTACAGGTGTGCACCATTGCGCCTGGCTTCATTTTTGGATTAATTCCTCACGTATATGATTAAGTTTTGCATGTTTTTTTTCTGTAATAGGCATTGTACAGATCTTGCACATACTGAGCTATACCTCCAGCCACCCCTATTTTAATATTTTTCTGGCACTGGAGAATTAAACCTAAGATCTTGCACTTCCTAAACAAGCAGTACTGCCACTGAGCTACATTACCACTCCTTTTTTATTTTTTTGTCTTTTTGAGGCAGGGTCTCGCTATACAGTTCAGGCTGGCCTTGAGCTCATTTTGTAGCCCAGGCTGGTCTCGAACTCACAACGATCCTCCTGCCTCAGCCTCCCGAGTGCGAGGATTACAGGTGTGCACCACCATGTCTGGCAGCACTCCTTTTATAAAAAAAAAAAAATGTATTTTGAGCCGGGCGTAGTAGTGCGTGCCTATAATACCAGCACTCGGGAGGCTGAGGCAGGAAGATCACCATAAGTTTGAGGCCAGCCTGGGTTATATAGTGAGTTCAAGTCTGGTCCAAACTACGTGGCGAGATCCTGTCTCAAAAAAATTAAAAACTTTAAAAAATTAAAAATTTTACTTTTTTTGGCTGAGGATATAACCCAGTGGCATAAGTGCCTGCCTGGCAAGTGCAAGGTGCTGAGTTTGATTCCTGATACAAAAAAAAAAAAAAAATTATTTTCAGACAGGGTATGGCTAAATTGCCCAGATTTGGCCTCAAATCTGCAGTCACTCTGCCTCAGGCTCCTGAGTAGCTGGGATTGTAGGCGTGTACTAATTTTTTTTTTTTTGTCTTTTTGAGACAGGGTCTCACTATGCAGTTCAGGCTGGACTTGAGCTCACTTTGTAGCCCAAGCTGGTCTCACTTGCAACGATCCTCCTGTCTCAGCCTCCCTCGTGCTGGGATTACAGGCATGCGCCACCACGCCTGGCTAGCGTGCACTACTGTATCCAGCCAAGTTTTGTGTGACCTTGTATCAAAAAATCTTGTATCCTACAAACTTGCTAAACTTATATAGTACAGTATTGGGATCTACTGGTTTTATGTATGTATGTATATATTTATTAGTTTTTTGTTTGTTTTGAGACAAGGTCTCACTGTGTGGTGCAGACTGGCCTTGAACTTGCTTTGTGTAGCCCAGGCTGGCCTCGAACTCACACTGATCCTCCTGCCTCAGCCTCCTGAGGGCTGGGATTACAGGCATGCGCCACCACAGCCAGCTTTTTTTTTTTCAATATTTTGAGACAAGGTCTTGCTATGTCATTCAGGCTGGCCTTGAACTCACTGTATAGCCCATGATGTCCTTGAACTCATGGAGATCCTACTGTCTAGCCTATTGAGTACTGGGATTATAGGCACGTGTCACGCCTGGTTTCTTCTATTTCCTTTTCTTGCTTAATTACCTGTACTAGAATGTTGAACAGAAGTGGTGATTGGAGAACTTCCCATGTTGTTCTGCTTTTCAGAGGAAGTTTTCAAGTCTTTCATGAAATATAAGGCCAGGCATGGTGGCACATGCCTGTAATTCCAGCACCCGGGAGGCTGAGACAGGAGGATTGTTATGAGTTTGAGTCCAGCCTGGGCTACAAAGTGAGCTAAAGGCTAGTCTGAACTTCATAGTGAAACTCAGAAAGATTTTTAAAAAAATACATTAGCTATGGAGTTTTGCTTTGAGAATTTGCAGTAATGGGGATTGTACCCAGGGGCACTCAGCCACTCAGCGGTCCTTCACCCCTCTTTGAATTTTGAATTACATAGGGCCTCCCTATGTAATCCAGGCTGGAGTCAAATTTGAGATCCTCCTGTCCCAGTCTTCCTAAGTAGCTGGGACCACAGGTGTGAGCCACCACACCTGGCATGGTAAAGTTTTTGTGGATGCTCCTTATGGTAAAGGAGTTCTAGTTCTAGTTTTTTTTTGGTTCTGAGAATCGAACTCAGGTCCTTGTGTTTGCCAGGCAGGTGATGCACTGCAATGAGCTACATCCTTGGCCCTGTTGTGTATGTTTATGAGGAAAGGGTATTGAATTTTGTCAAATGCATTTCTTTTTAAAAAATTATTTGTATATTTTTTGTATATTTTAGATATACATGATAACATTCATCATAAGGAATAGAACAACCTTTATTTTTTCATGTTTTTATTTTATTGGTACATTTTAAATATACAGCCAGGTGTGGTGGTGTACACCTGTAATCCCAGCACTCAGGAGGCTGAAGCAGGAGGATCCTTGTGAGTTTGAGACTAGCCTGGGCTACAAAGTGTGCTCAAGGCCAGCCTGAACTGGATAGGGAGACCCTGTCTCAAAAAATACAAATAAATAAACATAATGATCACATTCATCATAGGGAACTTGTACCTGTACCTGATATATCTTCTTTTCTTCCATTCCCCTCCCTTCCCATCAGCCCCTCATCCTCTCCTTATTTACAAAAGCTTTGTCTCCATTTTGTCCCTTCTATTCTTTTTTCTTTGTTTTGTTTTGTTTTCCTGGTACCGGGAATCGAACTCACGACCTTGCGCTTGCCAGGCAGGCACTGTGCCGCTGAGCTAAATCCCCAGCCCTATTCTTTTTTCTTTTTTTTTTTGGTTTTTCTCCGGCACCGGGAACCGAACTCACGACCCTGCGCTTGCCAGGAAGGCGCTTTTGCCGCTGAGCTAAATCCCCAGCCCCTATTCTTTTTTCTTGCCCCTTCCTTTCCTCCTCCTCCCTTCCTAGTTCCCCTTCTCATTTGAACATTTTTTTTTTCTTTTTGTCTTTTTGAGACAGGGTCTTTCTATGTAGTTCAGGCTGGCCTTGGACTCACTATGTAGTGCAGGCTGGTCTGGAACTCCCAAGGATCCTCCTGCCTCAGCCTCCCAAGTGCTGGGATTACAGGTGTGTGCCACCATGCCCAGCTTCATCTGAACATTTTCTAACCATTTCCCAATATTGATTATACATTTTGGTCCTTATTTACACTTTCAGTTTCTCACTGCAGAGAAACAATGCAGCATGTATGTATGTATACATACATACATACATACATACATACCAGTAATCTAACTCAGGACCTTTGTGCTTACCAGGCAGGCGCTTGTGGTGCCATATCCCCAGCCCTAATGCAGTATTTAAGCATATGTGTCTGGTTTATAAAATGTTTTTTCTACTTTTACTGAGATCATGTGTTTGTCCTTTAGTTTATTGGTATGGTATAGTACAATAACTGATTTTATTTTTTGAGACAGGGTCTTGCTATATACTCCAGGCAGGTCGTGAATTCACTTTGTAGCCCAGGATGGCCTTGAACTGTAACAATCCTCCTGCCTCAGCCTGCTCGGATTACAGGCGTGTGGCACCACTCCTGTATTAGTACATTGACAGATTTTCATGGGTTGAGTCAACCTTGCATTTCTGGTTAAAGTGCACTTGATCACAGTATATAACTATAACCTTTTTATGTGTTGCTGGATTCTACTTACTTGCGTTTTGTTGAGGCTATTCATTCATTATTATTTTTCTTGATTAAGACAGGATCTTGCTATGTATGTAGTCCAGGCTGGTGTTAAACTCACTATGTAACCCAGGGTAGCCTTAAACTTGAGGGGATCTTCTTCCTGCCTCAGCCTCCCAAATTCTGGGGTTAAAGGTGTGTGCCACCACACCGTGTTGAAGATTTTTGCATCTATATACATGAAACATATTTACTGGTCTATAGTTTCCTTGTTATGTCTCTTTCTGGCTTTGTTATCATAATAATGCTGGCCTCTTGAATGCATGCTTTTTATCGCTGAGCAATAATCCATGGAATGGGTATACTACAGTTTCTTTCATTGTTTGTTACAATTTGGATCTGGACCCAAAGTCCCATGTGTTGAAGTCTTGTTCCCTAGCCTCTGGTGCTATTGGGAGGTGGGAACCTTTAGGAGAGGGGACCCAAGGGCCAGAAGCGTGATCACTGGGGGTGTTCCCCTGAAAGGCATGTTGGGACTCCTGTTCTTCTTCCCTCTGTCCCTTTTTTTTTTTTCCTTTTTGAGACAGGGTCTCACTATGCAGTTCAGGCTGGCCTTGAGCTCACTTTGCCAAGCAAGGCGCTGTGCCACTGAGCTATATCCCCAGCCCCTTGAGCTCACTGTGTAGCCTAGGCTGGTCTTGAACTTGCAAGGATCCTTCTGCCTCAGCCTCCTGAGTGCTGCGGTTACAGGCGTGCACCACAACGCGTTGCTTCCCTCTCTTCTCTTCTTGCCACAGGGCCAAGCAACCATGGACTGAAACCTCTGAAGCCATGAGCTAACATAAACCTTTCCTCCTTAGAGGCTGATTTATCTCAGATATTTATCAGTGACAGAAACCTGACACACTATTCATTTGCTGATGGACATGTGCTGTTATTTCCAGTTTTCCCCTATTACAGTAAACCTGCAAATTTACAAACCACTTCCTCACATGCAAGAAGGGGTTTTCCAGAGGCTAGGAGATACCAGTCTACCCACACATCTGTCTACCTTTCCACCCATTCAGTCCATCTGCTCCTCCCTCCCTCTTTCTCTCCCCCTCTCCCTCCTTTCTTCCTTCCTCCCACAAACCATCCATTTCCTTCCAGGCAGGTAACCTGTGGGTCCAAGGCAAACTGTCTTAAAATTAGACAAGACCCAGGCATGGTGCCATATGCCGGTAATACTAGCACTCCAGAGGCTGAGGCAGGAGTATCACCTTGAGTTTGAGGTCAGCCTAGGCTACGTAGTGGGTTCAGGTTCAGGGCCAACCTGAACTACATGGTCTCAACATCCTACATGCACCACCATGCCCAGCTGGGCTCCAACTTTTGATTCTCCTGCCTCTGCCTCCTGTGTACCACCACTCCCAGCTCTGGGCTTCTAAAGAGCACAGACGATTCACATCTGGAAAAAAACCCAGAAAGCAGCCGACACGGAAGGACGGTGAGTGCAATGGGGAGACGGCTCATTTATTGTGTGGCCTGGGTGATGTCCTCTAGACAGCGGGTCTGATCTCAAACGTGCATGAGGGGAAATGGACGGAGGGCGGCAGCAATCATGAGGAGATGTAGTTGGACACCTCAATCAGGTTTCTGTCCGGGTCTCGGAAGTAGATGGACATAATCGGCCCCTTTGCCCCTGTTCTGGGGACTGGGCCCTGCTCAATGGGGACGTCAAAAGCCTGAGATGGGAGAAGAAAACAAGTCATTTGTCATAGTGCATGTGTGAGACTGAAATGCAATTCCTAACAGTGGTCTAGAATCCCCTAAACCACCTTTCACCTTTCTGACCTCATCTTCTCCCATTCTTTCTTCATGAATAGACAGGCCTGTACCTGGGCCACCTTCTCTGTGAGGCGGGCATGAGAATAGTATCTAGTACTACCCAGTGACAGGACCGGAATTGAAACCTGGGCACTCTGGCCCAAAACCTGTACTATTTGTGAGTGCACGTGTGTGTGATGCTAGGGATGGAGCCCAGGGCTTCCTGAGGGTTAGGCAGCAGCTCCACCGCTGAGCCACACCCCCAGCCCTATCCCTATTGGTTGTTTTGTTTTGTTTTTTTTGAGCCAGGAGCTCGCTCTGTAGTTCAGGCTGGCCTTGAACTCACTATGTAGCGCCCAGGCTGCCCTGAAACACAGAAATCCTCCTGCCTCAGCCTCCCGAGTGCTAGGATTACAGGTGTGTGCCACCACCCCTGACCCTTGAGTAGGTAACTGTGTACAAGCATGTGGATGTGAGGAAACCATCTGTCCAAAGCTTGAGGGAGCCGTCCCTAGGCCTGCTGTGTTTTTCATGGCATCTGCAGCAGTTTTCTCAAAAAGCACAAAGTCCAGAGCTGTAGCTGCAGTTGAGAAGCATGCAAAGTATAAAGTCCTGGCTTCATCCCTGTCACCAACAAAACAAAATACCCCACAGAACCACAGAAAAGCAAAGAACACAGCAGCCCCACGCACCTTGAGGCGCTGGATCATCTCCTCCAGAGGCGTCTCCGTGATCAGACAGATGTCTAAGGAGCCAGGCAGGGGGTGAATGGCTTTGGGTTCAAATTCCATTCCTATCTCATGGAGGTTAAATTTCTGGTCCCCAAAACATAGTGCTTTCCGATCGCCCTGTTTAGGGGTGAGAAGACAAGTAAAACTAAAGGTCTGCTGGGTGTGGTGGCACATGCCTGTAATCCCAGCACTCTGGGAGGCTGAGGCAGGAAGATCACTGTGAGTTCGAGACCAGCCTGGGCTACAAAGTGAGCTCAAGGCCAGCCTGAACTGCATAGCGAGACCCTGCCTCAAAAAGACAAAAAGCAAGCAAGCAAGCAAGCAAGCAAGCTCTGAGGTGAGTGTGAGCCACTCCTCAGCATTTTGTTAAAGAACAGGGTTGCTAAACACCAGACCCTACCCCACCCAGCTCATTTGCCAGAGCAACTCTCAATGCACCTGCGCACATATTTTGTGTTTATTCTGTCTTAAAATTATTTCTATCTCTCTAAATATGTTTATACCATCAAGAGCAGAGATAGCAATTTGTCTATCCAACCAACAGCTCCCTCTTTTTTCTTTCTTTTTTGAGGCAGGGTCTCACTACCATTACCCAAGTTGACCTTGTACTCCTGGGCTCAAGAGATCCTCCTGCCTCAGCCTCAGGACTAGTCTCCCTTTTCTGGTAAACACAACCCAATTTTGATGGAATCAACTGTGTGCCAGCTTCATTAAAAAAACAAAAAAAGAATCCTACATTTCCAGCAGTCCTTGCTGGGAGGCCTTCAGGTAAAGGAGGGCACTTAGCATCACTGGACAGTGAGATGGAGGCCAGCAGCACTCCTCTGCCCACCCAGCAGGTGCTCTGTGCCCATTCATTTGTTCCTTCCCAGCTTCTGCCCAAGCACCAATTGCCTGCTCAGCAACAGCAGAGAAAGCTCTTGTTTAAGCCTCTGTTAACTGAGTTGTCTCATAAATTCTCCGTAACACAATCCAAACAAGGGGCATCACTACGTTTTCCTTTCTTTCCACCCTCAGTATTGGAGATTGAACCCAGGGCTTTTACACTGACTTACAATCGTTTATCCTTTTTAATTTTTTTAAGACAGGGTCTCCTGCCAGGCGTGGTGGCAATCTCAGCACTTGGAAGGCTGAGGCAGGAGGATTGCTGCAAGTTCAAGGCCAGCCTGGGTTACATAGTGAGTTCAGGGACAGCCTGAAATACATAGCAAGACCCACTCCAAAAAAAAAAAAAAAAAGAAAAGACAGGGTCTCCCTAAGTTTCTGAGTTTCGCTGGTTGGATTGACTTGTGATCCTCCTGCCTTGGCTTTCCAGAATGCTGGGATTAAAAGTGTACACCACCATACCCAGCTGGAGACTTTCTTTTCAGTTTTTTTGAGACAGCGTCTTACTATGCAGTTCATGCCAGCCTTGAACTCCTATGTAGCTCAGGCTGGCCTCAAATTTATGGTGATCCTCCTGCCTCAGCCTCTCCAGTGCTCAGGTGAGTCATGCACCACCATGCTGATTTAGACACTATTTATTGATTTAGCAACTTTAGATATCTTCTTGAAACCTCTCTATGATAAATGTGAATTTGGTTCATGAATATTACAACCTCTATGGTCATTTAGGTCCTCTTCTGACTCCTTTATAATTTTTAAGCCACATGAAAAATTTATTATTGTTTTTACAGTGCTGGGGATAATTTGTACTTTTTCTTCTTCCTTCCATAGAGTCTCATTTCCTTTTGCAGCGCAGGGCAGGAAGCCAGGGCTATGCGCTCTTCTGTGGAGCTCCATCCCCAGCCCTGCGCTCCCCACTCAGGAAGTTGGAGCTGTTCCAAATTCTCAGGATGTAGTTCATCTCTGGAAACTATTTTCTCCTTGGATCTGTCTTTCCTGGGGACTTTTTCTCTCATGTTCCAAACTGGACTGATCATGCCAGGTGTGGTGGTACACGCCTATAATTCTGGCACTCTGGAGGCTGAAGCAGGAGGATTGCTGTGAGTTTGAGGGCAGCCTGGGCTACACAGCGAATTCCAGTCTCAAACAAACAAACTGGACTGATCATTCTTTAGAGAGTTCTCTCAAATCTTATTCTCAGGGACCACTGGTTCCTGATTTCCATCTGTTCTTATTCTCAGCCTAAGTGTTATTTTAGTTCTGTATTTGCTCTTTGGTGTTGCTGTGGGTGGAACCTAGGGTCTTTCTCAAGCTGAGCAATGGCTCCACCACTGGTTGGCACCCACAATCCCCTAGCAGGCAAATTTCTGATGCTTTATGTGTCTTAAGAATGCTTTATCAGGGGGCTGGGGATTTAGCTCAGTGGCACAGCACCTGCCTGGCAAGCGCAAGGTCGTGAGTTGATTCCTGGTGGTGGTGGGGGACCAAAAAAAAAAAAAGAATGGTTTATCAGCGGGCTGTGGTGGTGCATGCCTGTAATCCCAGCACTTGGGAGGCTGAGGCAGGAGGATCATTGCAAGAGTTCAAAGTGAGCTCAAGGTCAGCCTGAACTGCATAGTGAGACCCTGTCTCAAAAAGACAAAAAAAAAAACAACAAAAAAAAACGCTTTATCTACATTGACCTTTGAGTAATAGTTCGGTGGGACATAGAATCATAGTTTGATTTTGTTTGGGTTTCTTTTTTTTTGGTCTTTTTGAGACAGAGTTTTGCTCTGCAGTTCAGGCTGAGATTGAGATCACTTTATAGCCCAGGCTGGCCTCAAACTCGCAACAATCCTCCTGCCTCAGCCTCCCGAGTGCTGGGATTACAGGTGTGTGCCACCACGCCCAGCTGTTTTGCTTTATTTTTTGAGGCAGGGTCTT